ACATCTTGAATGAGACTTTCTGATGGTACTTCACTCAGCCGTTGTAATTGGCTTTTCAAAAATTACATTTTTGAAAAGTTGAGAAACATTTTCCCACCATAGTGTAGAAATTCTATTTGCCAAATGCATATTATCTGGACATGTTAAAATTGACAGAAACTGAGGGTGTGCTGTGGTGGCGCAGGGGTTAAGCACAACCCACATTTGGAGGCCTTAGTCCTCAAGTCGCAGGTTTGATTCCCGGCCTTGGCAACCTTTGCTGCATGTCTTCCCCCTTCTCTCATTGCCCACTTTCCTGTCAATTAACTATGAAATAAAGGCCACTAGAGCCAAAAAAAATGACAGAAACTGTGCTTTATTTGAGATTAAAGTGTGTTTAGATTAATTAAGCACTTAAGGTCCAGGTACTTGATTGTGTCTCACCTAAAAAAAAAAAATTGAAGTTGTTTTTTTTTTTTAGATACTCGTATAACCTAAAATAATCCAGGCCTGCATCCCCAGGCCAGTTGGGAGCACAGCTTTGCAATTTTTTTACTTGAAAGTACAAAGGGGAAGAAATCCAATAGGAAGTCATCTTTGTCGGTCAAGGGAAATCCTCTCATCCGAAACGTTTGCTGGAGATAGGCACCAGCACCCCTTCAAACCCCAGACAAGGCTGTACAGAAAATGGATGGATGAATGGATGGATGGAAAGAAGGCATGACTCTTTACTCACAATCAAAAGCCATCCACTCCTTTCTACCCATTTCACTGCCAGTATGAGTAAATATACTTACTTCATATAACACTGAAGTGTGAAAATTGTCTTGAGCTCAACAACTTTTGACATGCTTTTTACTCAGTGTAGTTAAGCTTCGTCTGACTTTATCCACTTGGAAATCCAAGTTGAAATAAACCATTTAACTTCTTTATATTGGTACCCAGGTTAAGCCATCAATCTATATAAACTGGTTAGCTGATCATATTGAATAAACAGTACATTACATGGATACAGTGGCTTCATTGATAGTTGGAATTATTTGTAGCTGAAGTCAGATAATGCTTAACTATACTGAAAATAAAAGATCTGAAATGTTCAGCTTATGACAATCACAATTACAATTAATGTCTTACAATCTTTTACAACGAAGAAACATACTCATATTGGCAGTTAATTCAAATTCAGAAATACTTTGATCCCAAAGGAAATGTAAATAAAATAAAACATCTGGTTTCAACCAGGACTTGAACATGCACTCTCAGGTTACTAAGTGAGTTGCCCTATTCAGGGAGCTATTTCTGTCCTTCCATTAAACTTTATTGTGAAGGTGTGTTTTTGAGCTACACTCAAATGTCTACATGAAAGCCATTAAAGTTTATTGAAATTTGTTAAAACATTTTGAGGAGAAATTAAGAACATTTTGACTGAAATCTGACACATTGTAAGCTATTTCTCTTTACTTATCTCGGCAGTGAAATCAAATTCAAAATGAATTTATTCATTCCAAAGGGACATAAAACAAACTCAGAGATCCATGCTTTGGCCGTCCCCTTGCTTCTGCGGGCTCAGAATCCTAATGATATACCCACCTCTCTCAAGGGCTTCAGGGAGTGCAACTGCCCTCTGCTGTAGGAAGCAGGACTAGTTTAACGTAACTTTGTAGGTTCTGTTTGAAATTTCCAGTATTAGGATTGACTTACTTGTCACCACAGTACAGTAATGCTGGAACATTAACAGGCTCTGGAGTGGGTTCTCATTTTTATACAAGTCATGTATATCTGTTCTCCAGGAAACACGCATCTTCAGCCATGGATGAACACATATTAGAGAGAAAAGATTCCCTCATGACCTGCATCACTGAGCCTGTGGAGATGAGACTGAAATGCCAGATATTAGGTATGGACATATACAAAAACATTTTCTCAAATTATTTTGAATCTTATACTTTTGTACAAAGTTTTTGGCACAATATGTAAAAGTGGATATCCCAGCAAGAGGAAAAATATGTTTTATTTACACTGTTTTTATAGATTAATTGCTGCAGTTTTTCTCAAGAGACAAACTTCTAAATGTTAAAGCTTTACAAGTTTTGTAGATGGAACTGAATAGTAATATACATTGTCTAAAAAGACATATGACTTCATTGACTGCTGTCTTTTATTAAATCTGACAAAACATTTCTGGTTTTATCTGGTTAGAATTAGAATTATTTCTATTTGCCCATTGCATAAATGATCACAGATTAATTTAGAGTGGCGCATAAACCCTAAAATCATTACACCTTTAAACAACTTGGGAAAGCCCATGTGATAGCATGACATTGTAAGCTTCTGATAGTTTAATTCAAAACATACATATACCTACTGACATAATGGCAACTCCTCAAACAATTAATTGTGTGACATAATTATAAAATAAAATAAATGGGGCCCCATATCTTGAAGAGAAATGTGGACCTCCACAGTTGTGTTCATTCTTCAGAACAATCTCTAGATAAGTTTAAGTGCCACATTTATTGGTTCAAATAATTATATGCAAGTATCAGTATCAGAAGTACTTTCATGATCCCCAAGAGGAAATAGCTTATTTGTTGAAGGTACTCCATCTAAAGTGTTGAATATTAGCAAATACAAATATCATAAGTAGTATAAAATTTATAGAAAATAAACATGCATTTTGTATATTTTATTACATCGTGTTACATTCATTGTGTGACTACCATAATGCAAAGTTTAATATAATGAAAATATATTTATAAAATATATTATATTTATAAAATATATTTATAAAATAAATAAAGACAAGTATGCTCTTGGAAATATGAGAATTTGTAAGTAGAACTAAAAATGAGTTTAAACTTAGATACTCAGCATTGGGCATTTTAAAGTTTAATGGCTTTGCAAGATTCATAGAGAATATATCTAGCTGGATTATTGAAGATTTGCCTGGATTCTACCAGCCTAAGTCAGAATGCCTCACCTGCTTCATTTCATAGAATGCTAAATAATCAGCAGCCTGAGTTGAATAGTTCCCACAGAACACGTTCATTAAATGGCTGCTCTTCTCATTTCACAACTTAGAACAGATCCAGGTTTAGTTTAGTGACCGTGACAATTCCCAGCGGTGTTTTTATTTTACAGTGTGTGGGCTAAAAGCAACCTATTAAAACCTCTCACTTTTTGAGAATCATCCACCATAGCTATTTTACAACTATTGAAGAACATTACAGTGACACATTAATTGAATGTCCACAACTTCTTAATAATTTTCTATGCTTCTTAGTAATATGCTTTGCAGGATTCACTAACAGCTTAATTCAGCCACAACAATCAGGTGCCAACATTAAATCAAAGGAAAATATGGTAAGATCAACTTTAATCTTACACACCTTTTCCTAAGGAGTGTTAGGAAAAGGTGGAGGCTTTGGGAGATGGAAGATTGTTTGCAAACCTTAAGTCGATCAATTGGATGAGGTGGCGGTTTGTGAAGGTGAGAATGAACGCAGGAGTCCAGGTTATGAAGAAAGTGATGATGAATTTAATGATGAAAGTGGCTCAGATAGTCCAGATCAGGCAGCACTGCAGAGACAAAAAGCATACAGCTAAATACCGGTAGCAACTGACACAAAGACTGAACATGGAGCAAAGTAGTCTCAGGACTACACAGTTCGACTGAGAACTACTGACGACAACCAACAAGCTACATACGACTAGGATCTGACAACAGACAAAGACAACAAGTGGATTTAAATACACTGGGAGGGTGATCAGGGAATGAGACACACCTTGGAAACAATTAACAGGGAGGACAGGACATCACAGAGACTCACAGGGAACAGGATCACAACAAACACAGAAACAACCCAAAAATAAACACAGAAAACTCAAATCCTAAGAATAAAAGCTAAAGGACTCTTGGGCATGGAGCAAATCACAGACAATGTTCTTTTTCCTTTCAGCTGATGGATGTCCTCTTGTTAGAAACATTCTTTGTCTTTGCCTTTGGGGTCTGAACCCAGATGATGAGAGAAGTAAAATTCGGTGCCACAGCTTGATTGCGGGTGGAGGAGTTGAATCCCTTTTGCAGGACAGTGTTTGGCCCATCCGTGGCTCTGACTCTGACTCTTCTTCAGCTGCAGAGTTCTTTGTCCATTTTAATCTTGGCTCAAATCTGCCTGGAGGATCCAACCAAAGGTTTCTCTTTGCATTCGGCTTTTATAGCGGTTGACTATGACTATGACAATCAGTTCCCCTTTCTCAACTCTTATTCCTAGCTATGGTCTGTTGCAACACTTGATGACACAATGGCATGGGATCATTCTGTTACATTTGTACACATTTTACACCATTTCAACTTCATTGTCAAAATCACATCTATAACCTCTTTAGCTTCTCTGACTTAACATTCATCTATGATAACCACAACCTATTAGTTATAATTATAATTTGAGTTATTGCAGGCATTCTTCTGAAAAGAAAACAAGAATCATCCATTATTCTAATGATCTGATGACCAAAGTTATAGATGTTCATTTTTACAAGAGAAAACAATGTTAATACAAGTCTTTTGTACTGGTCTATTTTAGCTTTTTTTTTTTTTTTTTTTTTTTAAGTAAATTTATGGGCTGGAAACTTAACTCAGAACCTGTAACAGGTTGTGTTACCTATAACAGTGGTACCCAACCTTTTTATCACCGTGGACTGGTCAAGGCTAGGCAATTTTACTGCGGCCCCGGGGGCGGATGTCACATGACACAATTTCACATATTTTGTCCCAGTTGTCCCCTTATGACAATCTTGGAGCGTTCTGAGTTCTAAGATTATCGCTGCTATAATCGTTGCCGATCATCCTGCAGTGTGTGGTGTGTTGCTAGGACGTCAGACCGCTCCGATCTAAAATCCCACATATTCAACATGTTAGATTGTCTCTTGGCCCTTTTATCCCAGCATGTTGAGTATTCCCTGACTGGGAGCGAGAACGCTGCCTGTTGACTGTGACAGGTAGCCAGTCAGAAATTTCGGTAACAGACGCAAAAAGAGGAATCCCAAACAGCTGACATGGCGCAATTGAGAGCTTGGTTTACCGCATCGTGCAGCGCATAGAGTGGCTGCTCCCGCAGTCTTTTATCCAATCTTTTCTTTTTGTTACGTCTTTTATCGCTTAAAATGAGTCCACGAACCATCTCTATTGCTTCTACATCGTTGGACATGTTTGTTACTCTAAATTCATGTATGGTATGTTTTACAGGATTTTCTTCTGGAATCCGGATGTTCATAAGTGAAATCAGTTCATGTTGCTCCTGCCGTGTAACTGAACACGAACCAATCGAACCTGTTGTAATTTTATCAGCTCTGTGGTCACAGAGGGTTGGAGAATCGGCCGACTATTCTTAAATTATGCCGTGTAGCCAGACTTAAGACTCACAAGGTCTATTCATCTCCTCTCGACCACTGCCCAAACGCTCTCTGACTTTGGTCGCTATGGTAACGTTTACATAATCCCTTCAAAATAAGACACAGATGTGCCACAGAAATGAACATGTTACTTTCATGAAAATTTCAGATCACGATAACGACAAAAGCAATGGGAGCCCTGAGCTTGTTTCTCTGCAACGAGACGGTCCCATCTGGGAGACAGTGTCACCCGAAGTGTTGCTTAAATGCACAGGGTGCTTGGTCTTGAAGTATCGAAGCAGTTTTGAAGCTTCATTGCCTCATTAGCACCTACCGGGATAAATCCATCCTCCTGTCTTTTCTCTGGGCCTTTTCCCCTTTCCAAAGAAACTTTCCAAAGACATCTGATCTGTTCCTTACTCATTTTTGCTGCTTGTGGACTCAGTGTTGGCATGCAAAACGTAACCGAGAGAATACGGTTAAAGGATTTTCAAAATAAAATATCCTCCAGACTCAGATAATACATAAAACTGAAATATTTAATTATTTCTTGTGCGGCTTGGTACCTATCAGTCCGCGGCCCGGGGTTGGGGACGACTGACCTATAACACAACCTCAGTGATCTTTGATTGTAGTTACACATCATTTATGATTATAGATACAAACATTATTACTACTTTGATTATTGTCAAAATGATCAACAAGTAATGCTGCTTACCAGTCATTTTACACTGTAGGTCAGTCACAAAATTTCTTAACTTCACGTAATATTTTGTTATTTCAACAGACCAATTTTTAAATACTCTTTAAATCTGGACTTCCCATGTGAGGGACCCCAAACACCACCTTACTTGACAGTGCCACCCCTGCTCCTCCTTCTTTCTGTCCTTTAAACATGGTTGACCAAGAACACTGATGTGTGTCCAAAAACAAAACGAATAAACCAGAGCTGCCAGTGGAGGCAGAAGCGGTTAAGGGACAGCAGTTATGATAAATTTGGCTTCACTGCACTATCATTGTTATGACAGACATTGATAATGAGAGGAAACAGATTTTACGTTAAAATCAGTTTCCTCTCAGTTTCCAGTGGTACCATGACTGAATAGCTGCTAAAGCTGCATATAAGTGTAGCACCCCATTGGTCTGTCCACTAGACAAGAACTTAAACTGACTGGTGGGGTGGCTATTTGGTTTTGTTAATTTCTGGTAGATACCACGCAGGTTTACTTATGTCGAGTCAATACTTGTCTAATTATATCAACAAGTACTGGTACCTGTAGTGACACCTTTGATGTAACATAAATAACTCCAGACAACCAGTTGACAAAATAGTTTCTTTTAATACAAACTTGAAAAATAAATTCTTAGCTCCAGGTGAGGCTACACCCAGAATACCCAGAATTACCAAAAACTTAAATATGCCATTTTGCAATGCCATTAATTCCCGATGTTAAATGTTTCCTAAAATAAAATAAAGCTGTTCGGACATTTTTCATTTCACCCCCTTATGTTTTACTCCATTTTAACTTTTTGTTTCTTAACAAAAACCCCTCCCTTTAGTTGTCGTTTTTCTATAACCAGAATTGAACTTTTGTCACTAGCAGAACTCCATACATTTAGCAAAGATTTACAGTTCTATACTTATACACAATGTCACACATGGACCTATGCTCTCACATACACCCGGTATTGGTCAAAGTTTTGGTTTCAGGCATGTTGACCCTATGGTACGATGCTGCTACGAAAATCCTCTTCTCCCCCTTTAAACAATAAAACCGACTCAGACCTGCTCGCTCAGCCGACATTTTCTCTGCCACGAGTTGCAGAACCACTCCTCAGTCTCGTTGGAGCCAGTGTCGCCATGTTGACACATTCATCTCAGATCAGCCGCAGTTTTTCTCCATGCTTTTCACTTTAACACACTTCTGCTGGTATCCTAAACACACAGTGTTTACGATGCCGAATCCATAGCACATGTTTCTCACTTATGTTTGATATACATAAGACCAACCTTGTAAATATTTTATAAATATTAAAGGGCCTAAAGTGCATGGTTTTTAACCAGGGGCTACATATGCTTTAGCAGGTGGATCAGCTGCTTAAGTTTGTATGCAGCTTTAGCAGCTCTTCAGTAATGGTAGTGTAGTGACTATTTGTCCAAAACTCAAATCCAAGAATCAAAACACTTAAGACTTCAAAGTGATCAAGGTCAAGGTGAGTTCAACTCAGGCACTTGATGCACCATGGGTTTCTGGCTTACGCAGTTTCAAAAATACCAAAAGTCAAAAATGCAGTTCTTTGTTGCTGTATTCCATAGTCAGGCAAACAAGTTACAGGATTCACAGGATTCTGCTGCTTCTCCTGCTCTGATTCCTGCACCTGTTCTCTGAGTGGTAGACTGACTGAAGTCACTGGTAGACTGAAGACTGATGACTGGTAAAAAAAACCATATGACCACCCATGTGTATAATGAGCTACTACGTATTTATACTGTGAAACACCCATGTCCCAAACTGAAATTAATTAACTAATTAAGTGAATTACTAGCCAAAAACTTATTCTAAATAACTAAAATTAAACAAAAATTCTGATTATAAATCAACTAGAAAATAAGCAAATAAAAATGAACTAATCTAAATTCTAAGATTTAAGTTAAAATAGAGAAATAACTCCTACCATGGTACCATAAGTATCATGATTGCACACTTGCCCATAGATAAAAAAAAAAAAAGAAAAAAATAGGGAAACAGGCCCTAGTGACCCAAATGCCAGACTAGCCCACTGGGAAATGTCCCAGGGTGACATTTCCATAAATACAATATTAAGATGATGAAGTGATCACTCTGTTTAAATTTTAAAACCTTTTGGCTAACGTTACTGTTTAAGAAAATGTTTTTCGTATTGACACCTTTAACATATTTTTTTACATTCACTCTCACAGACTATTAATCTCTGTCTTTTCAGGGATGACGGACTTTCCTCCCATACCTGTTTGTGACTTGGCAGACCATATAGAGAGACACAAGGCTAATGACAGTCTACTCTTTTCACAGGAATTTCAGGTACATTTCTGTTACCTAAATGATGTTTTATATGGACGCATACACGCATATAGCATTTCTTTCCATCTTCACAATGACTTTGTGAAGATAGAAATTAATGACTTCCATTAATTTTTTTTGTTCATTTCTATAGCCTAATCCTGACCATTACCCCTAACTCTAA